CCCGGCCTCTGCTCACTCAAGGCTGCGGTGTGTGACGCTGTTTCGTTGTGAAGTAAAGTACTTTGAACAAAAGTACTTTGTTTGGCCTTCCAAAAATGGACATGACTAGAAATCAGTGGTTAAGTTGTATTTACAACACTGTTCCAGAACAGTTCAACCCAAATATTCATTTGTGTGCAGCACATTTTATGGAGGACTGTTTCCTGATCCTGGGAGAGTAGACTACAATGCCGGTTGTTCTGACTCACAGACTGTAAGTACTTTTTTATATTTAAGGGATTTACTGATGATTCAAACGTGAGTTTTGAGCAGTTTAGAGTAGCGCTTGTTGTTTGTCATTTCATTTGTCAAATGATGGTTTTATGTTTACGCGGCGCGGCGCGATGCAACGCAACACGTAAAAAGACAGTATAAGTCATTATAATCCGTATTTATGTCCCCACTGGATGCAACAAATGCCTTGTTTATAATGGGTTTTAATGATTTTGTCTCATTGCTCTGGGACACGGCATCACAGTATGGTAGGGGCGTAACATTTCCGTCACACGCTTGAGGTATTCGGCCAATCACAACGCACTGGATAGCTGGCCAATCACAGCACACCTCGCTTTTCAGACCGATGAGCTTTGTAAAAATCGACGCGTTTCAGAAAGCGGGGCATAGAGGAGAAACAATAATGTACAGTATGTGGAAAATAATGTGTTTTTTGAACCTTAAACCGCATAAACACATTTCATTACACCAAATACACAAAATAATGTTCTTTTTAGCAACATCATATGACCCCTTTAAGCCCACCATGACAGAGTTCAACCAGGTGCATTTATCACTCTGATATCAGCACTATAAATAGCTGGGAACAACGGCTTTGTGTCTCATCGGGATGTTGCAGGCGTTCACCGCAATATTTTATCGTTCCAAATTTAGCCACTCCTGAAAAGGAAGTGAAAGCATTTAATGGAAAGACTGCTCTTTTATTGCAACATTGACATGTCATGAACTGACTACAAACACCACCCATGCACATACGCATTTTTCCATATTGCAGTAATATTGTGGTTATCTTTGTCTTGCTTTATAGATGCAATAATCCTTGCATAATTGTTTGAAAATCGATCCTAAAAATTACAACACGGATCATATGACTATTTGGAAAGTGAACTCAGAATATTAAGCGAACTGGGTATATTATTCATATATATGCTGATTTGCGCAAGAAACATTTCTTATTATAAATGTTTAAAAAATGTTGAGTTGTGCTGCTTCATAAAACTGAGACTTTTTTTTCTTCAGGATTCTTTGAATATCTGCTTTGGATATTTGTATGTGTATGCAAAATCAGTAAATACTATTTCAAAGCCATAACTCAAAAAACAAATATAATGTTCTGCTTATGGATATCTTTTTGTATATGTATTTAAATTGTTTTTTTTACTGTTAAAAACATGTGAAGCATACAATCTCTATATATTAACACAAGAATCTCTGTGAGTGATGCAAATGATTTTATTGCTAATCTTTACTATCAGCATTGTGGGTTTGTGGTTTCAGCAAGAAAAGATAACCACAATATCATTGCAATATGGAAAAAAATGCTGTGTGGGTGGATGTATGTGGTCAATACGTGTCAGTTTTATCTTTCAGACTACGAGTACTATTTATGATACTTTAATATAGAGTCAAAAATCAATACATTACTTTATAAACTGAATATAATAAGGCATAATGATATACTGTATAGTGTTTATATTGTTCAAACTTAAAAACCAGAAACTAGTTACTGAAAGGGAACAATTCTAGGAATTTACCAACAATTGGAATGGTTAAACATATAATTTATTTTCATTAAAGCAAAAACTCAATGATTTGGACTTTATAGCACAGCATGAAAGAGTATCAAAGAAAATCTTGGTGCATTTACAGTAACCTTTACCATACTAATAGCTCACCCAGCAGGTTTTGACCTTTAGCAAAGCCATGTAAATTCTGCAAGTTCGTTTCTGCTTTTGTCTGGAGAGATGTGTGTCAGGGCATTGGAATTAATGAAACCATGGATGTAATCTTTTTAAATAGCTTTGACCTTTACGTGACTCAGCATTGACCCCAGGTATTTTTGACTTTGGTTCTATATTTAGACTTCCAAAGTTCTCATAAATTGAGATACTTTGACGGTGGACTTTGAACATTTTATGACCTTTGTGAAATCCATTCGCACTGATGCATGAACTTGACATTTTCTTGACCTTTAGGTCTGGAGGGAGACCCGGACCTGCAGTTTTTGCTGAAAGGTGGAGACCTACTAAAGGTGAAGTCCAGGTCATGGAGAAAGACCCGCTACTTTCGGCTGAATGAAGACTGCAAGACTGTGTGGCAACAGACCAGCAAAACTTTCAAGAGTGACTCCAGCTGTAAGTGTCTCTGCTGTCCCTTTTTTATTCAGTGTCTGGTTGAAAGAGGTGAGGAGAACAGGATTTGGTCATATCATGAAGAATCAGATTTATAGAATAATAGATCTTGGTATAATAAGCAAAACACTGTAAATTTGTGAATACAACTAAGCTGCCAAAACAACTCATTTTGTATTGGCAATTTTGATCAGTAAATACATGAATGTTCAGGTTTACAAAACGATGATTTCATAAATAGATACTATTAAACAAACTTACAACTAAAATAATTTTTGTGTGTAAAATTAAATATTTAATGAAATAAAATTGATATATATAATACAATAACATTCAAAAGTTTGATGTCAGTAAGGTTTTATTTAAGAAGAAATTAATACTTTTATTCAGTAGCTCGGTAATCAAAAATCCGTTAATTTGATGGAAAGTGACAGTAACGTCTCGGTTACGTATGGTAACCCTCGTTCCCTACCGCTGAACTTGGGCGGGCGCCAGGCGAACTGAATCGCATAGCCGACGCTGATGGTTCGCCGAAGCCAGTGAGACGAGCGGGGTTCTATCGAAGCGATATCCCAATTCGTCGGTCACGACGTGACTCGTAGTGACCGACTGAAAGGGAAATACATTTACAATGTTACAAAAAATGATATTTTAAATAAATGCTGTTCATCAAAGAGTCCTGTAGAAAATGAATCAAAAATATTAAGCAGCACCAATGTTTTCAACATTGATGATAACATTTATTGAGCACAAAATCAGCATATTAGAATGGTTTCTGAAGGATCATGTGACACTGAAGACTGGAATAATGATGCTGAAAATTCAGCTTTGCTATCAGAAATATAAATTATGATTTAAAATATTTTAAAATAGAAAACAGTTAACTATTTCTATTCTTACTTTATTTTGATCATACACACAATGTGTGTGTTTGTGTGTATGTATATGCAATTATCATATATAATACCTTAATACAAATACCTTATAAAAACATGTTGTTTCTTGATACACTGTAATCAAATAAACTTGTATAATTTCCTTTCAATAAAGGATCTCATGCTGACATCAGCAAGCCTCACATCAAATGGCTTTCCTGTAAACCCAGCTTTTTAGTCTGGAGCTGTAAACAAATGTGACCCTGTCTGTGAAATCCAGGCTAAAGTCTCAAAACCTAATTAAAAGATAACAAGCATACAAGTTTGATTTCAACCATTAATTTTACAATGATTGAAAAATCTTTGACATGGCCTTACTCAGTCAGTGTTAAAGATATCAAGGTTACATTTTCACAGAATGTTCTTTACCTTATGAAGGATGATTTTATGTGGAAGACAGTAAATCACAAAAAAAAAGACTTTGGCTGGGTTTTCACAGCCAGGGTCACAAACTGTCCTTCACTTTCCTCCACAAACATTTTTACCGCCTGCAAGGCCAGAAAAGGCTTTGAGTTGGGGCAGAAAGGAAACATCCCTGACAAAATGACCAGAGGGGAGGGGAACGAAATGTTGTGGTGATATCAAATCTTTTTCACACATGTTGTCCAGAGGCCTCTGCTCCTCTTAGCTTCCGGCCTGGTTCCTCCTGGCCAAAGGCCTCAGATCAGACCTCTTTATCTGCTGTCTGCCAGACTGTGGCTGCCTCCTATTTGTCCTGCATGTGTGTGATTAAGTAAACCAGGACCAAACAAAATCAAAGCATTCTAGTGAAAACACCAGATATCAGCAGGGAAACCCTCGGGTCCTGTTCACATGATATTTTCACCCATTAGTTGGGTGTTTTGACAGGCTTTTAACTCCCATTGGCCAGGAATGATGATTAGATGGATTGCACATGTAGTCGAAGCATCCGGCCTCTTTTTATGTTCTCAAAACGATGACATAAATGGTGGAAAATGTACCTCAAAACATATATTTAAGCCAAGTAGGATCTTTCTAAGTATTGAAAAGTTACAGGTTGATTCAGGGACTTGCCATTGGAGCTAATAGTTAAATCTATAAAATAGTTAACCGTTTAAATGCGAGAAGACAAGGGGATCATGTTTTTATGCACAGGAAGTGAGGTGTTTATTATCTTATAGTGATGATGCCAAGTTTATCTCAAGTTAAATGGACTTGAAAGGGTGGGAAACAAACTGAGGAAACGTAACAGATCAAACACTAGGGCTGCTGATGCAGTAAAACTATCCAGAAATGGGACAATGACCATGTTCGTCTTTTAAACCCTGTCGGACAGAGACCGTTTGAATAAAACATCGACCTCAGTCCTGTGTGATGCCCCGTTTCATAGTTTGACGCTATTATCTGTACAACAATGAACAGATTTTTCCCCCGTTTAGGGTGTTTGTCATGAGTTTATTATTCCCGCCTCCAATAGAACACAATGAGAGGTCACATGGTCAACATCCCACCACTGTAACATACAACAGAGGTCATATGAGGCAAAATCAGACTAGTAAGAGCCCTGATATGTGTTTAAAAGCTCTTTCTAGCACATCACATTTGCTATTTTTATTTTACACTAAGTATTGAACTTTACTGCCTACAATAGGTCCTGCATGACATCAATTATATCTCAAATAGGGCGGCTCGGAGGATCTGAGAAAAAGCACCTGACAGGATGTGGTTTAAAAACCAATGAGCAATCATTTTTAAAGGTGAAGTGTGTAATCTTTGCATCATCCCTACATTAAATCTGCACCATTAAATCAAAAAAGATCAACCCACTTCACCTTAAAAAAGATGTTGGTGCAATTATTAACCTAAATGTCACTGTTTTAGTATTTCAGACACTGTATTTTATATAATACATTAAATGTAACAATAATTATCTGACAAAATCCAAAAACAGAGGTCAGAATTTGGCCAAGCACAATGTTTCCTTACTGTCAGCTTGTTTGAGTGGAATCTGAAGGATGCTAGACTTGCTTTTGACACTGCTTTCTTTCACCAGTTCACTTGAGATTGGGTGTTATCCAAATAGTTCTTCTACAGTCCCCATATTTGCCTTTGTGAGCGTGTGCCACGTCTAAAACAGCTAATTATCTCCAGCTGTGCTTTTTCGACATTTTCCACAAATACTGTACAAATAAGGGTGTGAAGCTCTTCTTTTTCATCAAATGGTCAGTGAAAGTAACTCCTCAATCTTTGGAAAATATTATACATCTATGTCAGAAGGTTCAATGTATTACATGAACTAGATACAGTTTTACGCCTTTATTTGTGTGATTTTGTCATTTTCTATAAATTGTGTAATTTTTTTTCCGTAATTTTCAAGAAATATTTTAAATGCATTGATAAAACCTATAAATTTGCATAGAAAATTCTAATTAACAATACAATTAATTAATAGCAATAAAAAATGTAATCAATTAGTTAAGTATTAAAAATGAATTTAATATAATTTAACATCAAAATGATGATTTTAGCAGTACAGTCGAGAAGGTCAAGACCTCAAATGAGATACAGACATTTGCTGTTTTTAAAACCAGCTACTTTTCATGTTAGACTAGTTTTATAATACAGAACAGTTTATCTAAAATATCTAATAGATTGTGATTGTGAATTATAGGTAGAATTGTGCTGTTTTTGTCACGTGTCTTGAAGTGTACCGTATTCATGGCAAGTGGCTTCTCTTATGTTTGCTCTGTTCCAGTAGGCTGAGTAACAAGTGGCTTCTGTTGTGTTTGCTCTGTTCCAGTAAGCTGAGTACACACAACCCAACCCTGATCTGATTCTTCACAGAAAGCCATCTATTGTCTAATTGCTTTATTTAGGATCATGAATTCATTGCAAGAGAGATTTCCAAAAATCTCACATGTGTCTTACTTCCAGTTAGAACAGTTTATCAATCTATTTGTGCACAGAACGGTCAATTAAAGCTCTAAACCTGAGCCAGTTCTGTTAACACATTTCCGATGAACACTGTGATAACAGCAGAGACAGACAGCCCTGTGTGTATACATCTGAACTATATGATACATTCCTCAGTTTATTATTATAGCACAATACATATGAACAGAGCTGATTTTGTCCTATTTAATATTATGTTTGTTTAACACTGGGATTAAAGGACAGAGGGCACAGGAGGAGACTGATTGTAATGTGCAGCTGTGTTTGCCAAACACGTTCAATAATCGTCAAGTAGGGTGACACCACTGAGGTTATCAGCTTCTTATCACTGTCTGACGTGATGCCTGCGCTAAATCGTATTTCATACAGCAGTCTTTGATTGAGAAATCAAGATTATTCAAGTATCTCGCATGTTAATGTAATTAAATGGTATAGAATCAACCTGTATATAACTGCTGTACAATTTTTAATTGTTTAATTTTTTTTAGTTAAATTACCCATACAGACAATGTATTTTCAGGTGATATTAATTCTTCATTGATATCATTCTTTTTTCTTTTTTTCCCCCTTGTACAAATCCCCTTGTATTTAATTTATAAAATTTTCATTAGATTGGATCATTTATATTTTCATTATATTTGATCAATTTAATTAATTTGATAGATTTTTAATGGAGAAACACTTATTTCCACCTTGAAATATATTAATTTAATTTACTAATTCATTTAACTCTAATTTTGATTTCATAACATTTCATGGCACAGTTCTGCAACTGTGTTCAGTTTATTCTAATTCAGTAAATTCCTGTCGATTCAACTTTAAAATTCTATTTAACTAAATTTACATTAAAAAAAAAAGTGAAATCACTGTTCTCAACCAACACTTCGGGTGCGTAGATCAGTAAAAATTTGTGCTTCTTGTATAATAAAAAAAAATCCAAAAATCATTAAGCATACAAGTGAGTGCGGATTCTGCTTTATCCAATTAAATTTAAATTGGAATTACAATTCTGTTTCCTGTTTGCTCAATTTAAATGTCAGATTCATTACTGAATTGCGTACAACAACCCTCTTAGAGATAACATATTGATCCCTAAAATCTTTAAAAAGGATGGACCCTCTTGCACTTCTGTGTCTTTTGGTGGTTTGGAAGATTTTAGATGTCAAAATATACTCTTTAAATAATGCAGCACTGCATGTACAGACCTGCATATCAAACAAGCCTAGAAATAATGTGTCTCTTTGACTTCAGGCTGTTGTTTTGTTGTAAATCACTGTTCAGATGTTTCTCTCATCAGTCCGCCAACAGATTTCTTGTGAAAGTTGTAAATCACTGTTCAGATTTTTCTCTCATCAGTCCGCCAACAGATTTCTTGTGAAAGGCAGATTTATTCACAAAAGGTTCAGAATGCAGTCAGTTAAAACTCTAAAATGTGTAATAATTAAAAATCTCTTGCCTCTTTTACAGTCAGTCTCGAGGACATGGATTCGGTGCGGTATGGCCGTCAGACTGAAGGGCTGCAGAAGTACACTGACTCCTCAGCGGACGACCGCTGCTTCTCCATCATCTTCAAAGGTCGACGGAAGAATCTGGACTTGATCGCCTCATCCAAAGAGGAGGCCAAGAGATGGGTCAGCGGTCTGGAGAAGGTCATGACTGGCATGCACAGCCTCAACCGACAGCAGAACAGTGAACAGTATCCTGAACATCCATTCCTCAGAGCCTGAACACATTTGTCAGCACTGCTGTAATTAAAGGAAAACATCGATTTAACATATTTAGGTTACACATCATTTCAAAGTGACATGTATTTAATATAAGGTTAAGGTTAGGTTTCGGTTTAAGGATGGTTGCTTATAGTTTATAATATAATTTTATACATAATTTACTGTTGTTATTATTATAATAAGTACATGTAATATGTGTGACTGTCACCTTAAAGTGTTACTCAAATGTATACTTTTTTGCACTAAAAGTACTACGTGTAAAATGTGTAATAAGCATTGATATAAACCTTTTTTTTTACAAGTAGAAAATATCTAGCTAGAAAACTGAAATAGTCAGTCCTTACATCAGACAAAAAGCTGGATCTATAATTGCATGCGCAAGGCAGACAAGAATGCAGACAACAAAATGTCCTTGAAAGAGTTGAAGCATTTCCTACGTCAGATCAATATCGAGGTGGACGACAGTTACGCTGAGATGCTTTTCAAGGTGAGAGGCAAATCATAAATCTATTGTTTGCATTTTAACTTGTGGGAGAAGCTTATAGCAATTGTTTTGTTTAAATCACTGCTGTTCAGGATTATGTATGAGTCTACAAGTTATCTACACAATACCAAATAAAACAACCTGTTTAAATTGCTTTTGAGCTCACTGGCTCATTGAAGTCTGCTGAAATATTCAAAAAAAGTTGTTGTTGGGGTCTCCTGTTAACTGTCCTACAGAACTGTTTTATTGATTGATTGAATTTAATATTGCAGAAATGTGACACATCAAACTCAGGCACTCTGGAGGGATCTGAGATTAAACACTTCTACGATTTACTGACTTACCGTGAGGAAATGGATGCGATCTATGGGAAGTACGCTAGTACTAATGGACAGATGAGCTCTAGCGACCTGTTGAACTTTCTCCAGAAAGAGCAGAAGGAGCCAGTGTCTTTGGAGCATGCAAAGAAGCTTATTGAGAAATATGAGGTGGATGAGACAGGTAAGCACACTTAAATTACCAAAAGAATACATCAGATAACTGTTACTTTTAAAGATATTGATAGGATACATTAAACGGATCAAAAGTGATAGTAAAGACATTTATGCAATTTTTTTAACTTTCTATTTATCAAAGCATCATGGTTTCCACAAAAATATTAAGCCGAACAGCCATTTTAAATATGAATAAAAATTAGTGCTGTCAAACGATTAATCACGATTAATCGCATCC